GGCGCCTCTGTGGACAAAAGAGGTAGTGTTTCAACTGTCACCTGTCGTGAGGATATAACATGAGACGAGGACTGCATCAGTTTACTCTCGTCAGACCACTGTGTCTTTCTGCTCCAAATACAAACTGAGAAAAGAAGACCTGGGCACATTTACCAAAGTGTGACAAGGGGGCGTTCAACTGCTTATTGCACAATCTTCACCTTATTTGCCTTATTTTTGCCTTACTTTTAATTTCTTATTTACTGCTTTATTGTATTTGATGTACATTTTTGTATTTTGATGGCTGGTATTCCTGAAAGGACAGCATAAAAATTTCCTTGCACAGGGAAATGTCTTTCTCCTGTGCATTTGACAATAAAAATCTTCGAATCTTGAATCTTCAAATATCACAAAACACAACATATTTATATAAAAATAAAGATAGATACATAAAATATGAACCCATTTGTCAGTCTCCAGATTAGAACTGATTTAACATAACCACTGCGTATTAAATACATTTGTACAGGTACAAGAAATCCATACTTTCCCCTCCTCTCGTGGGCAAATCGAACATCCCACCAGAGAAAATACCAAGTCAGCACTAAATCTAATAGCAGCAATCCTCAGGACATTCATATCTTTCTCCACATTTTTGTCATATTTTGCATTAAACTAGTGAAATGGTCTTCCTTTAAAAGAAGAATATATTCGATTCCATGCTGTCGAGTTTACTTTGTCCCAGATATTTTCAGTTTTGGGATGTAAATGCAAAATGTCCCAGTAGTTGCATTTGTGACGCTACTGTACACATGGAAACTTTCAGTAAATGGAACACGTCATTAACGTAAAGATCAAATAATATGGCTAACAGACGGAAATAATAAACTCACAGAATCCACAGATTTCCTCTTTCAGACCTGTCTTGTAGAGTCTGTCTCAACTCTGACACTGTGACGGTGAAAAAGTGAACGCAGGCAAACAGTTTTAGGAGGAGCTCACTCTGTCTCACGTTGAGTTCACCTATTTCTCATACTGTACAGTGTGAATGATACACAACTGGCTAACTCTCTCCAGGAAACAAACACTTAGCAACACAAACTGTGAGGTTTCACACACACACACACACACACACACACACACACACACACACACACACACACAGATGGACACACGCAGATGCTGTAGGATGTAAAAACAAACACACACAGGGGTTTGGTGTCCTAGTTTCCATCTGTGGAGAAGCTATTCTCTCTTTCTGGCGCTCTCCTTCACTCACATACTCATCTCAGGGGGGGTCTTACTGTGGTCATGTGACACACTGCTGCTGTTGTTGCAGTGCGTGTGTGTGCGTGCATGGATGAGAGCGAGCGTTTTGCATCTGCATGTGTGCATCGCTGCTCACGTGATTATATTTGATTATATGTTTGCTTTTGTGCGAGCACGCAGAGTCTGCCTCTATGTACAGTATGCACATCCTTTATGTGTGTGTATTGTATTTCTGTGTGTGTGTCAACCAACTGTCAGGCTCTGCTCTCTGCCTGCCTACGGTTCCTCCTCTTCGGAGCTTTTTTCACCATCAGAGTGTGATCTAATACAGGGATTACGATGGGATTAAGTGAGTCTCTTATAAAATAACAGCTCATCGCTCCATATCGCCCCAACACTGGCCATTTGTTCTGCGGTATCAACAAACTCTAACAACGTCTCATAGTGGTGAAACCCAATAACTGCTCCGGCAGGGAGTGAAATGCGCTTACGCTGGAGTACACCAACAACAAGATAGAGTGGTGTGATAATTACCTGCACCGTGTATTACAAGCAGCACATTTCATTTTTAAGCACATAAACTAATCCTATTATTTATCAGAACTGATATATTCTACATACCTACAACCAGAACCATTAAATGCAGATGTTTGGTCTGGATTTATCATAAGTAATATACCTACTAGTCCACAAACATCTGTCTGTAAGTGGATTGACTTCACGTTTTGCACACGTGTTATTAATGGTGCAGGTAAGTGCAGTGCTGAATTTGGTGTGAGTTGAAGAGAGTATACGTTTATTATCAATGAAAATTGAATTAAAATGCGACCGGTGCTCTGTCGCAGTCAGAGGGGGAGGGGCAGTGGGCCTCCTGTCTGCGGACCGAGTTTAAAATTTCTTATTCTACTTCCGTGGATTAACGACAGCAGGGGTCTGTAACTGGGTCAAACCGCGAGGCACAGTCGGCCTCAGATCATTTTGATAACTTGATTATTTTCGTGACACCATATCGGACTGACACACATTCACGGGAGTCGCAGGTGCTGATCCTCGTCACGGTAACAAACATTCACAGGGTTAGGGTTAGCTTGTCAATTTGTCTTCAAAGTAAAAGTACAAAGTTGCTGCAATGCTTTATATTGAGTTGAATTACAGGTTTTACTTTGAAAAGTTGTGGACTTGGGTCTTGAAGATTTAGTCACTTAACAGACCTGAAATAGCTGACATGCAATGTATTACAAAATAACTGCAGTTTCAGTAAATCCTTAATACGAAGAAAATTCAGTTTCATTTCATGAAAAACATTCAATGTAAAATTGTCACTGTAGATAAACACTGTACGATGAACACAAAGTTTTCCAACAACACTATTCCCCATAGACTGTTTATCAAAAGCTCTGCACACAACGTCCAGCACACAAGCAATCAAAAGTGACAGTATATTGTAGAACAGTTTGAGGAGGACTCACTTTGCTATTAGGGCTTTAGTCTTATTGCAGCATGTGTTTATTTAGACTATTTGTGTTGCAGAGACTTGTAGGTCTAATTGAGTAACAAGAAATAACTATTAAATAATGACACAATAGCACAGCAGAAGTCAAAGGTGACAGCTATAAAATGGTAATCTTGATATGTGCTCTTACGCAATAGACATGCAGTAGATTTAAAGAGATGCACAGACCTGTCACGCTGGCAAAAAAAAGGCCAACTGATAAAGTGATGCAATAAAGTAGCACATTTTTGGATGCAATCTTTTTGATCCAAGCATGAAAACAAAATGAACAAAACACAAAGGAGATAACATGATGATGACGTTCACATAAGCTCTTTGTTTTCTTTTTATAGCCTGCATCTTTAATGTTTTTAATGCGTCTCAGTGCTATCAACAGCCTTGTCTGTGGCTCACGAGGCAGATGTTCTCAGCTAAAAGCTCTGATAAACCCAGTTTCACACTACAACTCGCTCAGCACCAAATGACTTGACAAAGCAGGAGACCAGCTGGTGAACATAGTGGAGCATTTAGCAGCTGAAGAGCCGGATTTTTTTTTTTTCCTCTCAGGAAGTTTGTGGAGACCAAACCCGAGCTAAAAGGACACGTAACAGCTGGATTGTTTGCCAACACGTTCCCATATAACATTTAACTTTACAAGTTAATAACGTGTCAGTGTTGCCATGACAGATTGTTTCTGCTGCCCCCAAGTGACAAAATATATCATATATATATATTATTATATATTAGAGCAGGTTTGAAATCGAGCAACCTGTGTAAGAGCATGCAAGACCAACAGGATCCTGTTGCCCTGGATGATGAATACAGTATGGATACATACATATGTAAATATGTGTTATTTCTAAGGTTTACTGTAGTTTAATGATCTAATCCATATCATTGGTGAAAAAATCTATCCAGAGTAAAAAATAATTAGCATATTGTATTTAAACAAAATAAGACATGCTGCTTAACACCCTCTATCTTTTAGTACAAAAATAGTAGTAGTAGACTTAAGATGATAAGATTATTATAAACAGCAAAACTTTATTTGAGGAATAGTATTGGGTTTATAATGTTAAATCCTCTGACCAATATGGCTACTTTTTCTATTTGTGTGTGGACAAAATATGATAAATAATCATAAAGCTATTACTGACCAACATAATCGTTCTAAGAATATATTTTTTTCTATGGTCCTAAATGGGAAACTAGGAAAGAGTATGCGGGCCATATGGAAGAAAGAAAAAATTCTTGAGATTTTGAAAATAATGTCTTAATATTTGTAATCAATGAAAAAAAAACTCATCATACCTTGATTACTCAAACTTGATCTCAAACTGTGGACCCCTTTAAATAGCACACAGTTGTGACCAACAATTACCTTCAGTCAACCACCCCCAAACACAAAAGAGGCCGTCTGTGGGTTTCTTTCTTCAGAATAGACAGAGTTTCCTGCACAATCTGTTCAAAGCCGAAATTTACGATAATGGGGTGCTGATGAACCAAACGATAATGTATTTCATTATTTGTGAAACTTACACTCACACTTTAATTTAATACTGAGGTGAAATTCAAACTTATAAATTAGTCAAAGAGAATTTTAATATGTTTCATCAGCATCCTGATGGCCCAAACCAAACCCTGGCCACTGAGGCCAGGAGGAGACATAAGTATTCTATTACATTTTTATATGATGTATGGTTTTATTTCTTTACATCGTGTTTTTCAACCTCTAAGCCAAATTCATATTGTGTGCAGATATACGTTACTTGGCCATTAAAGGTATTATGATTCCAATCTGTGTTTACTTGCTGCTTCTAAAACTAACAGCTTTTTGTATGTATACATGTCTGAGTTGAATTTGACCCCAAACATAGACACAGAAGTGTTTTAAATTCATCTACAGTATTAATTTTATAATAATAGTGACCTCACAGGATGCAATAAAGGTTCTAAGGGTCAGGCACTGTCTTGTAAACTGAACTGTCCAATAAATAAAGATCACACAAGAAATTTAACAGATTTGTCCACTTTTTAAAGACTTATAGAGTTATCTCTGTATTAGCCCGTGTTATAGTTTGTAATTAAACATATCTATAAATCGTTTATAAAGCCTTCCCAGAGATATTTTTAAATAGATAGTGCCAATGAATAAACCTTGTACCAACGCATAGTTTGGAAATCCCTGCGCCACCTGAAGTAAAAGAGGTCATGTGATTCCCTGTGTCAGTGGAGGAGCGTCAGTGGTGCAGCGGTCGGTCAGTATCATGAGCAGACAGGACGGTGCAGCAGGCTGTCGTGTGAACGGGCTGCAGGTGTCGTTGTCCACAGACAACATGTCGAGCAGACGCTTCAGGGAGTCCTGGGCCGTCGTGACTAAAGCCAGCCCCACATGGGATGAGTGCTACGCGGCCCGCACCCGCCACGGGACCGCATCCGCAGCGCCGGAGACCGAGGAGGAGCAGTGAGTGCGGCCGTGTCTCACACCCTGTCACCCGCCCGTCGCCGTCACTTCTGTCCGTCACACGCGGAGCAAACCGCGGCGCCGATGCTGAAACACCCACCGAGCGTTCAGGACCAGTGTGGTCATGTGTCCGTCGCAGTGATTGAGTCTAATGTTAAAGCCGTACATTCATTTACGTGTAGAAGAAGCACACCTTCTTCTCGACAGCCATTTTGACATGCAATAGCAGGTAAACGCAGGTTTGAGTTATCACAGGAATGAAGACACGTGTTAGTCCCTGAAGACTTAAACGATATTTTGTATCTTTCTTTAAGATATTTATTGAAAGAAGATGTTTGTGATTTATTCCCTCAGATGCACAAAGCCACCAGATGTGCACCATAGCATGGAGAACAGTTTTATCTTGTGGGAATGTCAGTGCACAGAGACACAGGGTTGTCAGGAATCATGTGCTGAGCATACTGAAGGAAAACAGGCTCAGCCCACAGAAGCATTATGTTTCTATCAGGACACTTGAGAAATTAACAAACTCTTAAAAGCTATAAAAGTAACTTAGTGTTGTTTTCAAAGATTCAGCCAGTCATGTCTGTACTACGCAGATATTAACTCTGTGTGCACAGCTTATTTATCTTGTGGCACAATATTGTTCCCACGACGACAATAACTTGTGCTGACAAGATAAAAACAATCTTTAGGGGCTTCAGGGGCTCCGGATGTACCTGCTATTCAAATGTGAAACATGACTATCAGCTGGTTAGTGCTACTCGTCCTAATAGTCAAATGAATACCCAAGAAATATGTTAAAACATGACCACACTGCTGTAATTAATGTGATGGCCAGCATCACTGTAGGACTTTGCACTGTCCATATTTATACTTTATCTGCTGGTGGCACACAGGTCCTATTTGCAGGTAATTCAAATACATGTATCACTGTATATCTATCGAGTACTTCATGTACATGAATCCAGTTGGGTTTTTGTGACTTGGTTTAAAAGGATGGAAAGGGGAACAAGTTCTTAAAAAGAGAACCACGTTGACTAGGGCTGTATGATACATACATATATAAATTGACCATCATTGTGATATCAAGGGACAGCTTGATCTGCAGTAGATAGTGTCCCATGTGCCACGCATTCACACTCTGCATGTCAATATGTTTGGCCAATCAGATGGAGCCCTGCTGCCCTCGATACTAAATTAAAGATATTCAGATCATTGACGGGCCTGTCCAGGGTTTTTCCTGAATCTGCCTCCGCCTCCAGACAAAATTCTAGTACAGTGGAAACTGCAAAGGATCATGGGACCAAATTAATGTCTATAAGTGATTAATTACTATAAAATAATTGTGTAACTTCTTTATGATAGTCCCAGAACCTGAGGGAAAGGTAAAGGTGCGCACACACACAGTCTCCGCTGCTCACTTCTCTCTCTCTCACAGACTAAGCTGACGTTTCTGACTCGCTTCAGTTTAAACGCCGATTTCTTTGAAACGACGCCACAATATCAACACTGATCATCACACGATGATCAGTACTTTTCTAAATGAGTTGAATCTTTCTTCAGAGCAGCGTACGCAATCATCAGCCGTCCCGCTCACTCTTTTCTTCTCTTGTTGACACACAAACACACACAGACACAAACAAAACCTGCATGATCGGACACATGTATAAACTCAGACTGGGCGAAAACAACAGAATTGGTAAACTTAGACAATGTTTGGAGAGTTGAATGAGAGGCAGGGCTCACTTGGTTGGGCTTGATTTGGTTGGCAGTGCGCAGCGTGAATGATAGAGACACAGAAAGGAGCAGTAAACTACTGACAGAGCCAGAGAACACTGTCAAATATAACTTTTACTATGTAAGTAAAGAGCCCAAATGATCACTGTAAGTGGACTTAGTGGAGCTGTGCATGGCTCCCTGGTTACCCACTGTATGGGGTCTATATTAGAACCCAAAGCAGAAAGACTTCAACACCGTATACTTAAGTATTTGTTTATTTATCACAAGTCATATCATCCTAATATCGCCCAGCCTTAGTATTGACAAACCTGTATTGTGACGTGTGGATAGAATTAGGAGCATTTTTACAAAACTCAGAGTAAAGCCCCATTTACGCCAAAATTATTTCAAATAAAACAAAAAGTAGCTCACCACTGGAATCAGAACTCCCCTAACGTTTAATTATCAACATATAGACTCAGACAAGTCCAAGTGAAAACAGTATATTAGATATAAAGCACATTGTGTTCCTTATTCACAAATATGTTTGATCTTGACCAGCATGTCCTGGTCACCTGATAATTTGTCTGAGTTGGGACTTTAGTTCCTTAATCTTTTCTTTTAAATTGCTATAAGAGTTACAGAGGTGGAGAGGTCTGGAACATGGGTCTCCATTTGAAATTGCACATGTATTAAGCAGCTCCGTGCTGCACCTCCTCCATCAGTTACAGTTTGATTTTAGCAGTAGTGATTAAATCCCTGCGTGTTTGTGTGTGCATAGTTTTAGTCGAGTGGAAGAGGAGAAGGATCCTGTGGATCCAAATGATGAAGAATGGGGGTTATCTTCTCCTTACCCTTTGGATCAGCATGCCTCACCCCCAGCCCCTCCAGCAACATCTGCAGCATCACTCCACAGAGCTCCGAGGCCGAGGTCTTACAACCGAACCCAGAGGAGGAGCTCTGCTGCGTCACACCCCTACAGAGCACAAGGCTATCATGAATCAAGAGGTCCTGTTTTCATGCAACACACGTACGGCTTCAGCTTCAACTGTAATCGCAGAAGTTACAGACGAAGAAGGTACATGTCAGGGATGTCAGGGAGATACAGGCCCAGACCGTCGCTGGAGCACTTTCCTGTGACTATCCAGCCTACCAGGTGGTACCAGGTTGTCGGGAGTATGCAGTGCAGAAACTGCAGATACCTGGGGAGGCACCAGATGACATCTTGGATGTGCCAGAGCTGCAAGGTGCCCCTGTGTCTGGTGCCATACAGAAACTGCTATGGTATATGGCACAGGCAGAGATGTTGAGCTTTCTAGCAGGAAAGACAGGAAGTTAATTCTCCCACGATGGGATTGAGTTTTTATTAAGTGCAACTTTAATCGGCCTTGAGGCTTTAGCAGTTAATCTTTCACTATCAGACCTGTAGTTAACTTGCACTATTCACTGTAATGCTGATTGTTAATTTGGTGTTAGAGCTACCAGTTGTTCCTTAAACGTTTCACAGTTTTTTGTTTGGTCAACGGGTTTGATCCCCATACTGTTTGTTATTTTGTTTGTGGTTCCAAGTTCTGCTATTTCTGTAATTGTTTGTTTCAGATTAAAGTACAGAGAAGTTGTATGTGGTGTTGTTTTTTGTTTTTTTACACTTCATAAGATTTACAAGTGGGGCGATGTCACAGGTAAGATATCGCAAACACATCTTTCTCATGTTTAGCAGCTCCAAGACGGCTGTTTACTAAAACTCCTTGTGGGCGAGACAGAACATAAACCTAACAACAGCATTTAATGTGGGTTAAAAGATTGAATAAGAATTAAAGGTTTGGGCTTGGGCACACGACTGTCCACTCATTTCATAAAGAAATGACTTAAGTAGATTCTGCTGTAAATCTAACACTACTGCTTGTTCTGCAGTGAGCTGTGCTGCTTAACTTAAACAAAGGTATATGTTGTGCTGCTTGGTTCTACCAAAGTGTACATATACGTAGCTGTGCATGAGACAACATCAATTTATAAGGTTTTGTCTGCGTTTGTTTGTTAGCAGGATGATGACAAAATTACTCAACTGATTTCCATCACTTCTAGATCAGGGGGCACATCCGGGAGTTTTTATTTCACTCTCTTTATCAGAGTTTTTCAGATTCTTCAGAGAGTAATTCATAGATCTTGGTGGAAATCAGGGATGTTTAGGGGAGTGATATTTATGAGTGTGTGCAATTTGGTGCAGATCCAATTAAAAATCTGGATCTAGTGAATTCAAATGTTTCATAAGGGGACTGTTCGGGAGGTGTGTACTCTACTGAGTGTTTAAAAAAAAGGCTTCCAGCTTCTATGAACATTTGTTGCATTTGAGTGTTTTATATATCAAGTTTTTCATAAATACTATAATTAGAAATGGTCATTTGACGAACTTGGGAACTTGTATGGTTGTTTTACACATTCTTTGAAGTGAACAATGAATCAACTCCCTAATTGACAAAGTAATCAACGACGATTCCATCAGTAGTTAAAGCGCAGCAACAACGTCTTTCTTTTGGAGTAGAACTCAAATGTATTGACAGTAATGATAACATTTGTCTTAAAATGTTCAAACGTTTTATTTCTGAAGATATTTTGTTCAATTAGGAGCAGGTGGATATTGAGACCAGCTTTATTTAACAATATTCCTTAAGGACGCATTGAAATTGATATGTGACCACTGAACACGGCATCTGGTCACCAGTGCCTGTCTGTACACGTATGTACAAGTAGACGAGCACTGCAGTGTCGACCTGGCAGACGTCCACCTCGCTGGTCTGGCTGCAGAAAATCACAGATTGGTGGATGTTCTCACCAAAGCTATTATGTCCCACATGAGTGTTTTGCTTTCTTTGCTGTGTGTGTGTGTGTGTGTGTTGTTTGAGCACACATTTCCACTCTCTCCCTGGTGGTGCTGGGGTGTTTGGCAGGATAAATATAGCTGCGTTGGTGTAAAGCTGTTTTCTCTTCGTCTTTTGTAGCTTTAATCAAAAGCAATCTGGAGGAGGGATAAATGGAAGGGAAAGGAGGGGTGAGAGAGATAGAGGGAGAGGAGGAGGAAGAGGGAAAGAGAGGGAGGGAGAGATGGCCGATGCCAGAGTGTTTTATTTTAGCTCTCTTTAAAGAGTCATTGGGGAGTGTTCAGGAGTAATGAGAACCCTGGTGGCTGGAGGAGAGGGACTGACTCTAACCTCCCCTCAGTCTCCTCTTCCATCCTCTCCTTCTCTATTTCCTGCCATCATCCTGTCTTCCTCATTCTGACTCCGAACACAACACACGGCTGTGACGGTGGCTGTGTTCACACTGTAGCCATTCATGTTCTGGATGAGTCCTCACATCTATTCTAGGATGTAACCGGCTTCCCTTACTGATATTAGCTGACAGTGAATTTGATGAGTAGCAGATAAGAACATGTCACATGCTCTATTTAAGATTGTGTTTCAGAGTGTGTACGGCTGAAGCTGTTAGAAATGGACTTATAGAACGTAATACCTAAGTATTAGTCTATTGTAGCTGGCCTTTTTTCAATGTCACATTTTATTTTCTTATAAGATAATACAGGGTTAACCTCTATAGTTTCACATGTAAAATAAATAGACCAGCTGTCTCACCACCAGGCTTCATGTGAAGAAGGAAATGTTAACAGATTCTTCTGTAGTTTGTGGAATACATACAACAAATGAGAAAACTCTGGTGAAGAAGACTGTAAGATGCGTTTAAAAACCATTAGAAAAAAGTTTTTTTTTCTGTTAAAATATTTCTATGGTTAATAATTAGGTTTCATTCACTAGATAGGCTGATATCTACCATAATTTACAGGTGATGATGTGTCTTTCAGGTTGCAATAATGATAGTGGTGTTCATAGCATCAACTATCAACAACTGTCGAATTTGCTACTCGATTGGCACATTTGTCTATTTTGTCGATATTTCTTGATCATATACAGTATTTTTCATTAGGTTTTAGTTTTGAAAATTGTATTAAAGTTCTTGTGCTACAGTAAAGGCTCATTATGCTGCATTTACATACAATAAGAGATAGTCCCGTACTAGAAGTTGGCTTGTTTTAATGAAATAAAAAGTTTTTAAAAAGTTCACATTCCTATGGCACTGAAAAAATAATTTTGCATCAAAAGTGGCAGAACCCACGTTAAACACAACTAGTGACGGTGAATCCAGGTTTCTGTGAGGAACTACAGAAAACCTTATGTGTTCAAGGAGACACAGAAATACTGTACGCTGTAAAATCTGCTTGAAATTTAATTAAATTGTCATTGTCAAAATGTAATGACATCAGATACTACTCCACATGTTACACCCAGAACTGGCTGTGTATTTTTGTTTTTGGTATTCTCACTGATGACAGAACAAAAGCCTGCGTGTGTGTCGGGTGAGGAGGAAATGTGGACGCTCAGATGTAATATGTGAACACAGCCAATGTACGGTCGGTTTGCATATGTGTGATGGGACGAACAGAGAGAGAAGACGTGGGATATAAATTTGGCAGTGAGCGGAGTGAGTGTCCTTTCATTACACAGTTGGCTTTGTGTTCTCCATTTGGAGGCCAGAAGCAGCCCACGGTGGAAGTCGAGCTTCTCCCTGGTATAACGGCCATGATGCGGATCTCAAAAAGCTTCCGTTAAAGCCTCTTTCTGGACGACTCGTTGGCAGCAGTGCAGCTCTTTAGGAAGCATTGTTCCATTTCCTTAGATTGACAGTCACCACGACTGAAGCCGGGCCTCAGATTAGTGGTTGGAAAAGTAGATGGCCAAGATAGCTTTCACTGACTGCAGTTGTTAGACATATTAGAGTGATAATGTGTATGTTGGCTGCATTAAACTCCTCAGCAGACTTATGTTAATGTATGTCATAAATTATCTGATGAAACGTGGCGAGGACAGCTTGTTGGCAAACGAGCAGATGAAGCTAAGTACTATTGAAAGTCTGGTTATTTTAAATAGATGTGGTTGTAATCCCTACCTATACTCCTTGTTTCCTAGGTGATCTGGGTGTGTAATAACTGCCGGAAGCAGCAGGAGATCCTCACCAAGCCGGGCGACTGGTTCACGAGTTCGCCGGGAAACCCCGCTGGCCTTGGATCAGCTGTCAGCGAGCCGTCCGTGTGCCAAACGTCTGGGGATAAGAAGCTCCGATCGCGCTCCCAAGCCCCCTCAGACTCCACCACAGCAAACCAAGACCCCAACCGACCAAACGCACCCGGGACCACACCTGGCGCCGATGCAAGGTCACGTAGCGAACCACCGCGAGACACGTAATATGAAGCAATGTTTTCGACTTTTTATTACTAAAAAAATATAATCAGGCCAAGATATGAAGCTTAATAAATGTGTTTTACTCTAATAATGAAGAAGAATTGTCACACCTTTAAAATGTAATGGCACCTTGTAGCTTTTAACCTGATACAGGTTTTTTTTTCCAATTTAAGATGAAATCTAATATTTTATGACCCTAGTGACATCACTGTGACATCATCAGAGTTATTACGTTTTAGAAAATCCCCCCTGAGCCACAGAAGGTGTGATGATGTAACTGCTCTCACAAGTACAGTAGAACTAACCATAATTAGTAAAGTGGTTTTGATGTGTAAAATGTGGGAGTGTACCTTTAACATAGGCTCTCTCAGCCACCAGACAGAAGGCCACTCATGAAATATGTTAATATTTGTTCTACTGAGCATTAACTCCTGCATTCATCCGTTGCCTCTTTTATACAGTGGTGGATTACAGCTCTTAAGAAAGCTGTCTGCGTTGTTGTTTCCTATGCTGCTCTAAGTGTAATGGAAGAATGTAGTCAGTTCCAAAACACAGGATCGTAGGAAGCGTGGTCACTCTCGACTTTCTATAAGTGGATACTAATGATAACAATCAAGTGGTGACAGACACAAAATCATACCAGTTTCATAAGTTAAAGGAAACTGTCTAATACAACAAGTTGTGTTATAGAAGTCAGCGGCAATAAAAAACTACCATTGATACAATTGATTGGATGTTCCTTTTTGTTTATTTTAGTTTTTTTAATTCGTCATCTGCTGCAATACTCATTAGATCATTACAAACTAAATGGTATTGTTTGACCTGAAATGACATTTATGGTTCCCGGTGGTTTAATCCTGCTCTTTGTGGTGATCCACTCTCTTTCGCTTGAGCTCCAGTATGACTATATGGTTATTATGGCTGAAATCTCAGTTCATTTCTTAACTTTTTTCATGATACCTACAAATCTATTATCAAATAACAGCATGCTGACACAGCAAACTGGGGAGGCTGATCAGGATTAACGTGACCTGTGTTATATCTGAATTGTAACATGTTCAAGCATGTTGATTTTTGATCACTAACTTTCTGCCCTTTATTCTAGAAGTAAAAGAAAAATCGAAATAATACGGAACATTCCACATTCATGATAGTGTAGAAAGTGTAATGATTCTATGTTCAACTTTTACTGAGCATTAGCTTCTTTGAAATTTTTCATGGTCGACATTTGCTACTATAGCACCTGTAACATGGTAGTAGAGTAGACATATTAATGACATCTCTAGCCTGGCTTTTGGAGCTAGTGAGCTTGGTCTTACACAACAGCTCTTCAAACATGTAAATACCACTCCAGTGATTTATGTGCCTGAAACACCATATCTTGTTTATTAACAGTGTTTGTCTATTCTATTGTCTTTCCCTCTCTGTCCCCATATTGATTATCCCCCAGGAGAAATGGACGTGGAGGTGCAGGAGCTGGTCGGGGAGATCGGCGGCCAGGACAGCCCAGGCTTCAGACCCAGGTCTCAATGGATCGGGACCTCCGTGGGGAGTCCAGGGAGCGCAGAGAAAGCCGGCGACTGACTAAGGGACGCTCTCTGGAGCATGACCCTGTGGGAGGAAGTGGCGGAGTAAGGCGGACAGAAGAGGGGGGCTCCCGCCGTGTGGACCACAACGGTGCCACCCCTTGCCAAGCAGGGCTGGTCCCTCCTGGAGGCCGGGGACACCCTGTGCCCATGCAGGGTCATGGCGTGGGCATAGTAGGGGAGCTTGGGGATGGTGTTCGGCCTGGTCAAAGGACGGTGGGTGGGGTTGGTGGGCCGCACGAACACACCCTGGCTCAGCGAGCCCCTCCCCCTGAACTTAGAGAGCCTTCTGTCTCGGGACCTGGCTCGGCCCTCGACCAGGGACCTGGGGTGAGGCGGACCAAACGGGAGAAGGCTGAGAGCATGCTGCGCAACGACTCACTAAGCTCTGACCAATCAGAATCTCTGCGCCCACCACCGCCAAGGCCCTACAAGTCGAAACGAGGGCTGGGGGCTGGAGGGAAGAGACAAACCAGCGTTAGCAGTTCGGAAGAGGAAGGGGGGACCACGCCAGAGTACAGCAGCTGTGAGGATGCTGAGATTGAAAGTGTCAGCGAGAGAGGTTAGTGGCAGTATCCATCATTACTTTCTGCATGGACAGTATTGACGTCTGTCCATTCATTTGTTCTTTCATCCATCACATGAGATATTATGGGGTATATTTGATTTTGAGAAGATCTGAGGGAAGTGATCTGTCTCTGCACAGTTCCTCAAACTGTTTAAACCAAGAAGATACTTTAACTGCTGGTCAGCACTGAAAATCTTCATAGCAACTTCCTGTAGGGTATTTCTCACATCACATGTTCAATCACTGCTCTTGGTATTAGTATTGGACCATTGTATCTCACTCTAAATGTATCCTTTAAAGCATCTGTAAAATGTTTTTAGCTGCCTTCTTTGTGATGATGGAGGCTTTAGCCAGAATCAGTGTGAACAGCCAGTTATATAAATAACACAGTGTTTACAGTCGCTCAAAAATCAGGCGGCTTTCATTCTGCATACAGACTTTTAAGGGTGAATATACAAGAGACACAAACCCTGAAATATAATTAAGTATGGAACTGGGACAAACATACATTTATAGAATGGACATTAGCATTCATAGCGGCACTGTTCTTTAACATCAGACACACAGCAGCTAGCAAATGACCTATAGTGAGATGTTTGCTTAATGTGGAAGCATTCTGTTTGAAGCTGCTGCCGATCCGTTCACTCATCTGCACTCACTTGCATTTTAAGGTTACTTGTATAGTGGGGGCAGTGGTTCTGCAAATAGTCAGCCATTAACATGCAGGTAGTTTGCCAGTTTTGAGCATATCATTTTCTATCTGTGATAATTCTACAAACTGACATGTATGAAAAGAACAGAAATGAAGGAACTATAGCATAAAATCAAGAAAGAACAGTAATGTGCATTAGCTTTTACTGGAATTACTTGAGGTTAATGCATGGCTCAAAGAGCAACCCCTGGGGGACATCATCTTAACTGTTGCCTTGATTTAATTCTTTTATTTTATGATAATCCTCACGGCACCTAGACGCACAAGGTCTCCTTCAACTACAGTGTACTGTTGTAAATCACCCTGATTAGGTCATTAGGATGAAGGATAATAAAAGCAACATAGGATTTACAGTTCTCAAGCAATTTACAAACCTCTTCAACCAGCACTATTTACAGTTACGGCATTCATTTAAGGAAATAATGATATAATACATTTTATTTGGCTGTGTGCGGGGCATTGCAGTGTGTGTGTGTGTGCGTGTGCTTGAACACTCCCACACTTGAACACTGTATTAGTGGATGTGAATGTGAGACGTGCAGCGAGCTTTTCAGTCTCAGTCTGCCGCCTTCATTCAGGCTGTGAATGTGGAGACACCTCCCTGCTTGAACTCTCTGTGTAGATTGATCACAACAGGTAAGGCAGCTCTGATACTGACTCTGGAAGATTCAGCTTTTAACTTGTTATCCTGCTGTCTTATTAAAATCTATATTGAACCGTAGGTTTACACAACATACCACTGAATGTCAAAGTGAGCAGCTGTGCAGTACATTCAGTGTGCATGTTAACAAATGTGTGTGAGCCTGTGTGTGTGTGTGTATCTTAATGTTTGCCTTTGTGTCATGTTGTATTGTTTTCAGCTTGGCCCAGAGGGGGCACAATCCCACACTGTGTGTTCACATGTATGTTGGTGTGTCTGTGATGGGGCGGTTTGACCTCGGCTGATCCCTGTGTTGACCTTGTGTGGCCTCACATAGCCGACTATGTCCCCAAGCCTGAGAACACACCACCGTTTACGCTCGAAGTCTGTCATGTCCAAGCTGGGTTAAGTCACTTTAACACTAACAACTCAAGGCACTCAAACTCACTGCTGTGCAGTCAATGACTAGTCTTTAATTTGAGTGTACGTAGCAGCTTATAACCACTGGTCCTGTTGTAAGTTTTCTGAAAAAATGCACACTGAGAAATTTTTAGATTACACAAAAAATGCTTTGTGGCTGGGAATGTTAGTGCTGTCATCTGCAGATTGGTTTAACGTAATATTGTGTTCTCTAAAAGCCAAATCGTTTGTAAAGCATTTATGTTGCTGTCACAAGCACCAGAAGTTGTTTCTTTCTAAATGTTTGAACCAAATTGCTGAAAACATGATATCACTCGATTTCAGTGTGTAAGATTTAGGTCTAAGGGAACTATTGTCAGAAATTTAATGTAGAATAATCCTCATGATGTTTTCACTAGTTTGTTTCATCTAAATTGTATGAATTGTAGTTTTCTTTCCCCCAGAAAAGACCCTTTATATTCAAATACTTTATATTTACATCGAGGGGACCCTCTCTACGGAGGCCGCCATGTTTTTTACATTAGTCCAGACTGGACAAACTAAACACCTTTTGAGTTTTTATGACAGTTAAAGGCTACCACAGGTTCTTTTTCATGTTTGGAAGGAGAGGGTGAGGTGAGGGGTGTTCAGCTGCAACATGCAGCTTCAACACTAGATATCACTAAATTCTACACACTGTACCTTTAAGGGTTCTTTTACATGGGCTCAGTTTACACATAATATGAATCTTGAGACCCTTTTGAAAAGCTCCTCTGGGTACAGTGAGCACAGTTAATGTTCCCTATTACTACCCACACTAATGGCCTGGCTTAAGGGATGGGATTGTCAGCAAGACAGTTGATCCACCACTTTGATCCACGCTGTAATATTATTAATTAGAATAACTAACTATTGGTTTCTAAATTGTTTTGTAATGCTTGTCAATATGTGTTTTACAAACTTCTTAATATACGAACTAACTCACGTTCATAGTTCTCGCTGCTGTCTCTCTTCTTTTCATTTACCACCACATGACAGTTCATGTCATTTTACTGTTAGTACCTCATAACCTTGACAGTGTTTAATAAGCACAATGACTGTAGCCATGCTCATGCTACATTATGGCTTCACTGTCACAGGAAGTCAACATCAATAAAGTGTGGTGCGTCCGATGGAAGATAGGGTGCATGCAGCACCAGCCTGGACCCACACCAGACGCTATGACATCGATCAAGTAGAGGTTTAGTATGAGAGTGTCCTGTCAGCCCAGGTTTTAAACATACTGTTGTGGCAGCGAGATGCTGCTTCCTTTTTTAGCTCGAGACAGAGACTGGGTCAGCCCCAAGATGTGGTTGCTGGCAGCCGAGAAGCATCCAGGCATGTAAATCATCATAAGATCAGTGCAGGAAAATATGCACAGTGCACACACACATGTGCACACACACACACACACACACACACACACACACACACACACACACAAATATGCAGTCACAGTACAGTAGATCCCATTATAATCTTTGCAAGTATCCTCCCACACACAAACACTAAAAACTCATGGTCTGATACGAAGGAGGAACACAACATAATACACTCATGTGCACTTAAATTCACTTTTTACCTCCTTATCTCACAGGGTTTTTTCTGGCCCCTGAACATTACATTGTTGCACGAAATTCTCCAGCATTGGCAAAATACATCAACATTGTTTTTCCCCATAGATTTTCCATTTTATGTTTAGAAATCCACATCTGAGTGTGAAACGTAATAATCACTGGCAGATTTTTAACAGCTTTTAGCAGGTTGCCAAACATATACATTAACTCTGTTCCCAGCACCCAGCAAACTTGTTTGGCTAACTACATTATACAATGCTTATAGACGGAAGCTATTAAACATACAGCATCTTTACCAGTTGATGATTAGAAGACATGAAAATATGGGCACAGCGTTGAGTTCGATAAGGAAGAATCTAAGAATAGACTTAAAAGTGCCAGAGAAGATGCTGTTACATGCAGTGATGAATTAGAGTCTTCAGTGACATTTCCCACAGCTGTCAAAACACAGGCTTTGATAGCACAACCTGGGATACTGTCGGGTGCTGCTGCTTTGTGATGGTTAACCCTGAAGAGGGTCTGCAGTGACGCTCAGACCCTGTTCATCTGGGGAGAGCTGGTCCTCATCTGCATATTAAATAACCTCTTATATTGCACAGGTTATTCAGCACATTTGAAAAGGAAGGATCCAAGCCACTTGAGTCTGTGGTCTGTGATGGCCTGGATACGCTTCTGCAGGTGCTGCATGTCTGTTGTCAGCAAACAGGCTGCGGAATCGAATTCTGTCGTGCCTCTCTGATGCCACATGACAGATTATTTCTTGCTGCTTCAGAGGTGCTTTCTCCCCGAATCTGAATGTGAGTCTGGGATCCCCTGCAACCTCTGATCTTAGCCATGGCTTCTGATTTGGCATTGAGATCATGGCCTTAGTGACTGTTGGGTAGACTGCTCAGAGTTGTCCAACTTATTGTTCAGTGAGGGTTTAACACAGTAGACGAGAGAGCAGATCCAGTGGGTTTAGCCTTAAGCAGCTTGTATAAATGAGTTGAGTTGGTAGTTTGTATTTATTCTACAAATCTCCAGAAGATTCTTGCAACTGTAGCCGAAGGAGTTGTTTTTAATAGGTCTGTGAGAGGCTATTGTGTGTGCTCATGGAAACACAAAGGAAGTGGACGGCGGAGATAACATATAAACCCATAAACTAACTTGGTTACTTGTTCCTATTGTGGGAAGTAAGCTAGTTAGCTGTACATGTTACAATTATGCAGCTTTGTTTTTGTGTAATTCTTTTTTTAATTTGGTTTGGGCATATTAAAAAAAGGTAGCCAACCTCCAAACTTTTTCTAAGCTGTGACTGGACAATTGCTATCAATATATAATATTTATATATATTTTGATAAAATTGTTAATAAAAAAATATTGTATCGGTGCATTTTCTCATGCAACCCAATCTACATTACAAGTGACCCCAAATAGTGTCCTGGCCATCTATTGGTAATTGTTTATTAAGATCTCTTTCAGGAACATGCAGAAAATTATGTTCACGCATGAGTTATGAAACCAAGAACTCAGTTGTCTATCATCAGAGCGTTTGCTTTAAGATTACATAATGTCACTATAAGTTGTCACAACTCATTAACCTCATTGGCTCCTGGCTCCTAGGAACACTTGGCTCTGTTTTACTCTGTGTCATAACAGTGCCGTTGAAGTCCCGCGCACATTTCATCACCGCCCCCCGGCCCATGTGTACAGATGAGGCTGTGTTTTTGGACTGAAGCAGAAGCTGAGGCTGAACCATTTGTCTAATCGTCTCAAATATACTGCTGGATGGGAGGAAAATTCACCAGTATTGAGAGCTAAAAGACAGTCAATGGTTAACGAATGTATATCAAGACTGTGTGTGCATACATGCACTTCAGTAGCTTCACCAAGCACCTACTGATTTTGTGTGAAACTGTGCCCTATAGAAAATCATGAGAACTCAAAATCCACAGACATTTTTCCAATGCCTTCGGCTGCAGAAAGACTGTATGGGATGCTTGAAAGCCTTCGAAAATGGTAGGAAGAGGACCTTGAGTTTTGTAGTCATTCTGTTTCCAACTATCATGCTTATTTAAAAGAAGTTTGACGCATCGTTTTTAAGAAATGTATTAAGTTCATTTGTGGCAGCAAAGAATTTGAAGGCTTTACATAAAAAAGTCTTAGTAAATGAAAATTATTCAAATATTTAAATAAACAAAATATTAAGATGAAGATTGCCAAACGATTTTAATAGCAATTATTAATTATTTGTAGACAAACTAAATTAGTAGTATTAATTAATCAATTAAATTATAAATTTTTTATAGTTTTATAGGCTTTTTTAATTAAAGTGTAATAAAGTACAATTTAAACACTGATTGCATTACTTCTGTTTGTCTTTGTCACTTGAACATGACACAATTCTGTAATTATTATCAAAATAAGAGAGAAAATACACTGCATCTCTAATAGATTTTTGGTTTTCTTGTCATTCTTCATGATGATCATCAAATTGAGGTCATCATTTACCATTGTTTTTTGTTTTTTTTACCCTTACATCTGCATTTCCCCAGAGTAAATCCACAACATCTAATCTGTAAACGATCTTGGAGGGATTTACAGCATTTTAAAAAGCTTAGCTGTCCTTTGGTGTCATCGCGGCCTCCACGGACTACTTAGAGCCAGAGTCCTGTCACTGTGGTGAAACATTTCTAATTCTAGCCCAGGTCCGATTATTCAATAAACTTAACCCTTTCCGCCGTAAATAAATACCTCCTAAAGAGCCCCCAAATTTGGCTGAGCTGTATATAAGAGGCCTCATGCTGGTATGTGCTGTGTATACAGTTTCAGCTCCATGCGTGGGTGTGTGTGCGCACGTGTGTGTGTGTTCGAGGAGGAGGATGTGGAAGTCCTTGTTTTATGCCGCTGCATCCACAGTGTCTCAGCTGTTCTCTTTTCTCTTGCAGGTGACTGGGAGTGCTACCCACATGACCCCACTGTGTGGCATGTAAGTCACTATTTAATGTTTCTTTTTGTTCATTCTTCAACATTATTAACCAATGCTATGCATCATTCATCCATAGTCAACAACTTTGTTGAAGGGAAACTTTTACATGCTGAATCAACAAGAACCATCAGTCAAGATCAGCTTAATGTCAAAGACAGTCAGAATTCAGTCAATCACAGAATCACAGACCACATTTAGATATGCTCTGTGATGCACGTGGCCACATTCTTTTAAATGTGTCCTGGACCCATGAAGGACCAGCTACTCAGCAGATGCCCTCTGACCTGCTTTAGTTTTATAATGAACCAAAAATATTTTTTACACTCTCAGTGTTTCCCATGGCCACTGCTACATATTAATTGTATATAGTATATTATATAGACTAGCTAAAACCTTCATGATTTGGTCTTTATGATCAGAAATTACGTGTATTTGTAGAAAGAGCAGAGGAAGTGAGACTTGAGACACCTTCTAATGCCAGGTGTGAGCTGACCTCAGAGATGTCCACTAGTGATCAAATCAGCCGAGACCGATGGCAGGTCTGAATACAGCCTGAGTGTCAGTGTGTGCATCTCTACATATCTACTGTTGTCTTCTGTTGCAGCATCCTGTAACCTGGCAGCCATCTAAGGAGGGAGACCATCTGATTGGACGAATCACCCTCAGCAAGAGGAGCGCCACAATGCCAAAAGAAGCTGGAGCTCTGCTGGGGTTAAAGGTCAGAGTGGCGCTGAAAAACACATGTTGTTATAGTATGAGTATCCAATCACTGTTGTCCACCCATTATATGAAGGATATCACACTAATTTCACTGTCTTTCCTTTTTTCTCTTGCTCCCTCTGTCTCTCGCTCTGTCTAGGTGGTGGGAGGCAGAATAACAGAGTCAGGGAGATTAGGTGCCTTCATCACTAAAGTCAAGAAGGGAAGTCTGGCTGATGTGGTGGGACATCTCAGAGCAGGTAGCCTGAACCATCACACCAGTCACACTATTTGCATGTCCTCGTAAAAACAGGAAAAGAATATGGATTTAAACATGAAGACTTTAAAGTCATTAAGGGGTTATTAGGGTTTTTATTAAAACTAAAAACTATTTTAAAACACACTTACACCTGGAGACGTGTTCTTTCAATAACACTCACGCTTGTTTCTACTGAGTCAGTTCAACATAGACTGTTTGAAATACTCACCCAGTCTGAAAGGACCAAATTAGAAATAGTCCCCCACCAATGCATTATGTTCTACGTCAATGGTCAGAATTTCTTTGGAAAATACAAAGCCCCCTTTTTTTAACAAAACTTCAAAATAGTTAATCGTTATTCTAAATAAATAAAGATGAGTAAAATAACCTGACACATTTAAAAGCATAACAAATGCCCCTGAAAATGTGTGCCTGATTTCAGGGGATGAGGTTTTGCAGTGGAACGGGAAGCTGTTACCAGGAGCGACTATGAAGGAAGTTTACAACATCATCCTCGAGTCTCAAGCTGAGCCCCAAGTGGAGCTGGTGGTATCCAGGCCTATTGGGTAAGTCAGGGATAAAACACACCCAATGCAGTAGCAGTGCCACATTGTAATATTTATCAAGAATGAAACCCATTATTTTTTAAAGTCAGTCTCCAGTCTGTGTGTTGCATTGAATTGAACTCTTACTTAAAGCAGCAGTGCTGACTCTAGCTCTGACTCAGAGTTGGCAGACATCAGATAAGATGGAAGACAGGGACATTTATTTGTATTCTGACTGCGACTTTGTGACTGCATTCAAAATATTAAAAACACTCAACCATTACCTGCTGCCGGGAGCTGCCAGGTTTTTTCCATTTAGTCTCATACGTCCCCTTTAAAAAAGCACTCGCGCTTATTTGTAGGATGTTATGAGGTGAATTATTATTGACCAAATAAAACCATCTGTAAAAGATGAAAGACAAGAAGTGGCTGCATCACATATATGGAGGATGCTGAGATGGCTTCAATCACATCTGTGAGTGCAGTATAGATTCATATATAGTTTTACATTATGATAATTACTCTCAAATCATATACGTTTGTTTTACAGTAACATTTTTCAACGAATATTCTAGTCTCAGGGAAATTTCACTTTCACTTTATTTTGATTTAATGTCTCATGGCTATTGTCTTTCCTAGTTTGTTAAGGTACATTGATTTGATCTGTCCTTACTGGCACCGAAAATAATTGTTTAATCTTGCAGGACTGATGTAGCAACCAGTAGTCTGGGATATCACAGTTCTTTTAAGTTGTTTCCTGTGCACACATTTGACATTTTCACATGTTCAGTTTACCAGCTGCACTGTATTTATAGAAATTTATAACAAAATGTGCTATTTTAACACTGTCACTATCCCCCAATAATCAATAATAAATTACATAATTCTGTCTGGAAATGAATCAAAGAAAGGTATTAGGTGATTAGGTAACACAGACTGGATTAATGCATTAGAATTCAACCTTATATAACATATTTTATACAAATGTGATGACACGAGCTGTTCTAGGATAAGATCTTCAACCTGAGTTTATTAAGTTAACTTCGAGAGAGTTCTGTGAATTCTGTGATAATCTAAAATAAATGTTATTGCTCATTCAGTCCACCACATGGAGTATAAGTTGTCTTTCAGTGCTTCAACAGATTATTGTGAGTAAGGTGAGCTCTTTGTCATGGGTAAATATTAGATATTCTATATTTCACAGTAAAATACTCTTCATAGTTTAAGGTATTGCACCTTCTCTAAAGATTTAACCTCATGTGCTTGTTGATGAAAAAAAGTTGAATGTATTAATTTCTCTCCAAACACTCGCGAAGGGTGTGTAGAAAATATCAGTAAGTAATTTGCTAATTTTATTAAGACCCTTTATTCCTCTCACACATTTGAAAACAGTTTTGTTTTTTCTGGTGCCCTTTTGCATCTTTTAGTGAACTGAGCTGAATTATATTCAGTAAGGATGCCAATTGATGCAAATATTGGCTTTGTGAAAAGAGCTCAAATCTGTCATCTCCAACCAAATTAACCTGAAAGTTGACTTGAACCGATGCAAAATGGCCAATGGGAAATGTCCATCTATGTATAGCTTTGCTTTTGCAAGCTTCTTAGTGCCTGGGATTCCTCTTTTTTACTCCTGGTAAAGTCTGAGGATCCCAAAGTAAAATGTAGCAGTGTTAAATAAAAATGCTCTTTTCTGCTCTATCCTTAATCCCTTGGTTTGAAAGTTGGGAAACGTGGATTCATAAAGCAAGCAATATTTATTTTATTTCATTTACGTGCTTTCAATTTTCTTTATTTTGGAATGGGCTCTGAGGCTGCCTATAAGTTCCATGAAACACTTATCAGTTTAATGCTTGGAAGTTGAACCACATAGATTTGAAAGAGTGCAGAGGTGGAGCTGTGAGGCAATTAGCCTAGCTGCTTTCAGTATTGATGCTAAGCTAGGCTAACCAGGCCCCACCCCCAGCTCTGTACTTTATGCATCTTAAGCAGGGAAAGAAAGCAAAATATTATAAATCATCATGACCATGCTTTCTGTATCTCACACAAAGCTGGTACGGTGAATTCTGGTGTTTGCCCTGGGACCTTTAACAGTGGTGTGGACAGACCTGAGCAATACAGCTCGTCCAGCATTACTTCTCATGATGATTGGCCTGAATGAGTCTGGGAAACACTGCAGTCAGGAGAAGAGCTTTCCTCTACTCACGTCTTCCCTTTGGTTCCACATAACATTTTATATTCAAACAACATACAACATAATAGAGCTACTTTCTTCCAGTAAACTGCTACTACATTAATATGCATGTGAGCCTGTGCATCAAGAACACTTCCATGTTGAATGAATCCAGTCGGATTTCAGTATAAAAATGACTGACCTGCTCTTTGCTGCTTCTTTTTCAGTGATATCCCAAGAATCCCCGACACGTCCCACCCTCCGTTAGAATCTAGTAGGTATCTCCTATTGGGTGTTGGAACAAACCTGTGTTTGTACGTCTGTCTATGTTACTCTTTAAATATACAGTGGACTTTCTGCATAGACCTTTATTGGATAACTCACCTCTGTGTGCTTTTTCACATTCAGTGTCCTCAAGAATAAAACAGCAGCTAAAATCTTTTAGTTTTACACTAAATCAGAAATATAATTGCCACATTTAATTTATGAAAATACTTACAGAACTTAGAACTAAGAGTAATGCAGCTCAGCACAATGATTTTATTTGTGTCTTTTTATTTACATGTTACCTCATCTAGAGGATAAAAACTTAACAAAAACACCTTTGTATTCTTTTATTTGTGTCTATGAGGCTTTTTCATACTGTGTTATAAGTCGGATTCATCAGACCTGATCATTAGTAGAATCCACATACCTAATTTTGTGTCATCAGAACGGCTCCACATGTTGACAGTAATAAAGAGGCAATGGTTTAGTCTACATGAAGTTAGATTGTAAAAACGGTTACTCTGTAGCAAAGCAGGCAATGAGTAATATGTATGGCAATCAATGAGGTACTAGATACTCTTTGGAGAATATGACAAGCTGCAGTAGTTACACTGTCTGAAGCATCAGAGGATGACAGGAGACAACAACGTGTTTAAAGGCAGCTGTCGAAGTGAGAGAATTTTCTTAACAGACTGAAATGTAGAAGCTGCTGGGACCAAATGTGCCAATACAAATACTAAAATAAAAAATCTCTCATTGGCAAGACATGGTGGTAAATTAAATATTTCTGAATCATATTTAATTTCATATTTATAAATTTCAAGCCAGTACAATTCTTAACTCAAACCCCTGTGAAGGAGGACGTTCTATCTGGTCCTGACTACGGCTCCGGACCAATCGTGAATTTAGTTCTCAGCATTAGAAAATAGCCACAAATTCTCTGGGACGCTTAAGAATGAATCTGTCTTCGCGACAGGTTCTTAAATTAGTCTCTGTGCGTTCTCATTGTGTCTTCCAATATTCCAGTTACACTCACAGCTCCGTCGCGAAGCTACTTTAAACGATGGCACACCACTAAGAATTTAGTTAGGCTGTTTGTAGTACCCTGACACAATTTAACAGGAAATGAACAAACCTTTTACGTCAGTGATGGATGTCAAAAGTAGGAAAATAGGTTTCGGCATAAATCAGTCTAACAGTTGATCATACACCTTGTTTTGCAGGGTGCAGTATATGTGACCTCAGTACTTATACACAAAAGCCTATTGGACTCAAAGTAGGACAGGAGCTTGGTCATTTGTCATCCTGACAGTTTAGCGATGCTCTTTTTTTTAATGCGGGATATTACATAAACATGAACACACTCTTCATTTCACAGTTCAGTTCTAGACCTGACTTATTTGTCCTCTCTTAATTTTATTGTCATCTCTTGTCTTCATAGCAGGTTCCAGTTCTTTTGAGTCACAGAAGATGGAGAGACCGTCCTTAAATGTACTATCTCCCTCCAGTCCCGGGATGCTCCAGGACGCTCCACAGTTAATGCCAGGGCAACTCTCAGTGAGTGTGCGCACGATCAAGTGTGTCAGGATGTCGACGTGTTTAAAAAAAGACGCAACATCACATTTGTTTTTATGTTGTTTCCACTCAGGTGAAGCTGTGGTATGATAAAGTCGGTCACCAGCTAATCGTCAACGTGCTGCAGGCTGTAGAGCTTCCACTTCGTCCTGACGGGCGGCCCCGGAGCCCCTACATCAAAATGTACTTCCTCCCTGATCGCAGGTACTTCACATGATTAAGGTTTATGATGAGTAATAACAGACTGCTTTTGCACATTGCTTTAAAATGTATTATTGGTGTTCACATTAGGAATTTGAACCATAGACTAATCAGTGAAAAGAAATCTCCAGTCTATACTACAAAGAATTATTTTTTCAAATCACCAAGATTTCTGAAGCCGGGATTTATTGTTTACTGACATGTTTACTGACATGTTAGTTTAACAATGGAGACATGTTTTATGACACTGACTGTCAGTGAAGTGTTTCCCCCCATAGGGAAACTACCTTCAGTGTAGTTAGAGGCAGCATCTAGTGGCCTTTTTTAGGAACTGCAGGTTACAGAACCTCTTTATGTGCTTGGGTACAAATAATCTATTTTAACTATAAGCTCAGCTAAATGTCACCGGGAAATGCATTCAAACAGCCACAAGTCACACATCAGTGGAGTATGTTTAGATGTCTTGTGATTCGGCCTCTCGAGGTTTTAGTTATTCCATTTAGCCACAGGACAAACAACAAAAGTGAGTATATGTGCATTATGTGACACAGTGACAAGAGCAAACGAAGGACAAAAGCAGTGAAGAGGACGTGCGAGCCCAAGTGGAACCAGACGTTCGTCTACACTCATGTCCATCGCAGGGATTTCCGCAACCACATGCTGGAGCTGACTGTGTGGGACCAACCAAGGTCTCCAGAGGAAGACAGCACCTTTATGGGAGAGGTACCACACACACACACATTATAAAGGTTCCTCTTCCTCGCATTGGTGTTAATTAGTGTGTGCACCAATTAATCATTGTTCTTGGTTATTGAGAATCTGGACCTTGGTGACTTGACTGCAAATTGTTTCATGTACATCACATGATGGTTATCTTTAAAATAGCTTGTTAGCTTATATTTTATAATACTTCTAGTGACCATCTGCATTTTTAAATATAAATGTTACTGTTTGATGTATTGCAGAAGAGTTAGCATAATGCTGCAGTCCCTCTGCAGATCACAGTTGAAATAGAACGAAGTGAGCATGCTATTTTATGATATCACACATAGTTTCCTCACTGAATCTTTGTTGCATAAACTAGCGAAAGTGGGCGTTCACAGGGTCAATCATCATGGAAGTATTTCTCTCAGAAAAGGAACATAGACCCACAGAGCACTTTATTTCGGAACACCTGCACACTTGCATATTTATACAACTATTCTGTCAGAGAATTATGTGGCAGCAATGTGCAATGTATATACACATGCACATACAGGTCAGGAGCTTCAGTTTATGTGATTTCATCTGAAAAATGGGATCCCAGCGACTTTGATCATCAAATGATTGTCGGTGCTGACTGTGATGCATGTTGGGTATTTCAGTTTGAGAGGACTTTTGTTTTGTTTTGTGCCATGGAGCATTATGCTGCTGAAACTAGCTTTGCATGTTGGTTCAGGCTGTTGACTCCAGATTGTGACTCTAAATCTGCAGCTTCAGCAGAAATCCATAGTTATCAGACCAAGTTTTTCAGTCTTCAACTTGCCAGTGTTGGTGAGTCTGTGTCACTGCAGCCTCACATTTTATGTTCTCGGCTGACAGGAGCCTGACGTGGTCTCTGCTGTTGACCAGAAAAACTTCAGCAACTGTTGTTTGTGAAAATCTCTGGAGATCAGCAGTTTCAGAAATACTCAACAATCTGACATCAACATCGTGCCACAGTCAAAGTCACACGGATCGTCCCGTACTTGCATGATTTTTATGCGCTGCACTGCTGCCACGTGATTGGCTGATTGGAATATTAGGGAAAAGCAGGTGAACAGGTGTTATACAGTCTGTGGGTATTCACATATGTACATATTCACTATGTGGATTCTGACTTGAACAGATCCTAATAGAGCTGGAGACGGCCTTACTGGACGATAAGCCTCACTGGTATCCACTCCAAACCCATGATGTCTCATCCATACCGCTGCCCAGACCCTCCCCGTTCCTGCAACGACGACACACAGAGCCCCCTGGCAAGAAGCTGCAGCGTAAGTCTCAGAGTGTGTGTGTGTCTGTGAATGCTCCTCGCTTTATATGTTTATCTATTACCTCTTTAATATCCACCTGTGTATGAGTGTGCATGCACATGTTACTGTATAACAGAGAGAGAGGTTGTGTGTGGTTAGCTGTCAATGAGCATTAACATGTATGTCAATGTAAATGTCTGTTTTTTTGTTCCTTCTTTCCCTAATACTGCATTTGTGCCTGGATGCATGCATGCGTATATGTGTGTGCGGTGTATATATCCTTGTGTGTGTGTGTGTGTGTGTGTGTGTGTGTGTGTGACTGTTTAGGTTCTCAGCGTGTAACAGAGCCTGAATTTGATGAGGGTACAGCAGTAGTGTCTAAAGGTGGGTGGGGACGTTTTCCAGTGTTACATGCAGTGTGTCCCAAAGCTTGTAATTTTATTTGTGGTGCTGATCAGGGGGGTTACTTTTCTGGAATAAGCCGCTGTTATTTATTAACATCAATATTTAAGTCCAACTTTTTGAATGGAATTGATCAAAATGTGTTCCATACATAAAGCAGCCTTTTTAGTTGTGACAAAAACTCTGACCAACTGAAAAAAGGTTTTATTTATTATTCAGGTGAAATGAATCTGATTCATGTGTGTTATCTATATGCTCTTGAATGTGACCTGAAATGGAAATCAACCCTGACAAGTTTCCACAAATAAATCAGTGTATGGGAAACACCGTCATGTTTGTAGACAACATGTTGGCATGGGAAGGAGACCAAGCAGGACCCATGCTTCAGTCAATTTCTTTATCTCAATTACAATACAGTGTAAAGATTTGAATACCCTCACCTATTGCCAACTAAAAGATAAAGCTCTTGCATGAGAAGCACTAGCATGCATGTTGAAGCATTCAGCTCTCTGTTTGTGTGTGTTCGTATGTGTATTAGGCAACAACTGTATAGTGTGTAAGTCTTTTTCTGGGTGTTTGTCTTTGTGTCAGATAACATATTTCTCTGCTGATAAATTATTGGTCACTTTATACCATACAAGTATGTGAGGAAAAACAGCTTCATATTTGTTATTTATTTTAAGTATTATAAGAAATAAAGTGAATATGTGTATATCCAACTGAAATCTATATCCAAGTGGGAAAACAAGCTTTTTGGATTTCATTGTAGAATTCTCATGCTTTATACTCTCACATTAACATTTAATCTGAAACACTAAAGGTTTTAAACCAATGGCATTATTTTATAACATCTAATTGGTCACACTCAAATATACTCAATATCCGCTCGCTGTGCTCATTTAAAATATCAGCTGTATCAGTCGAAGCCCAGGGTGTATCTGTGTTTATTGTTAATGAGTGCTCAAGTTAAAAGGAGAGACGGGGGATGGAAAAATACACCACATCACTTCAAACAACCTCTAGTTTTAATTCACATGCATGGTAAGAATGAATGAAAACCCTTTGTAGCACTGTATAAAGTACAGCTAATGGCCCACCCTGAGCTTTGAGGTGCTGTTCTCTTGGAAATGACGCCAGAGACCTTGGCATCACAACAAAGCCTGACAGTCCCACAGACCTCTTCAAGGCTGATCACTCTCTCCATTTATATTTTTATCTTCACAGATAGTTCTACCACACCACCAAAGAGAGAAAAAGTTTTCTTTTTAAACCACATTGTAAAAATACAGCACACAGTGATGAGAAATAGATGCATTCTAGACTAAATGTTGTAGCCTCCACGTTGAGGGTACTTGCAAGGTTGTAAATGTATATGTTGCATAACATTAGCAGGCTACTAGCATGATTCTAAGTTTAGAGTATGAGGTAGGAGGATACTATAATGAGCTTGGGGCCCAGCCAGTGAATGTAGTAGATGATTAGAGTTTGAATAGAAAAACTAATTCTGCAGATATTTTTCTCAGCTGGAAGAATATCTTCCCTGGCTACAGTGGCCATGTCAGGAATCATTCGGGCCATATTATTCAGGCCATTAGCAAGTTTTTCCTCATATCCTTTCAGTGTTGATAGTAGTAGTTTCAGACAGTACAGAGAATTCAAAGCACAGAGGGTACTTTGTACCCAATGATCTCAGGGGGCACATTTTGATGCCAATAAACTCAGCGTGGGACTTGAATAAAAAATAGTTTGAGCTGTGTGGTATTGCATACTGCATATACAGTACCACCAGAACTATTTAACTTTTTCAGATTAAATGTCCAGGTATAATATAATATATTTATATTCTTGTGATAAAAATAAAAGCATTACTTGGCTCCAGACGATGGGTTGAGGGTCCAGTCTACAGTTTTGCACATGTTTATCTGTCTTCCATAAGTGACTTGGTATGCTCTCTATATTTGACATGATTGATAATTCAAAATTGATGAGTGTGCACTGATATATTGATGAGTGTATGCATATTTATGTATATGTTCACATGCATGACCATTCTCACTAAGCAGCAGATGGGCGTGGAAGGGAGAGGCAACGGGAGCCTACATCTACTCTGGAGGTGCCAGAGCAGCAGAGGACGCCCACCCATCACATACGATCCCGCTCGGTCTCCCCACACCGTGAGGAGCAGGGGCGAATCCGGTCACGGCCACCCAACGTTCCCACCCAGAGGTGAGGCTTCACAAGATTTTATTTCAGTGGTGCAACATGAGCCTTTTTTCAATTTGAGGATCTTTAAAGTGGCTGTGTAATTTTACCCTTCATAATACACAGCGATGAAGTTTTTACTTGATCCATTGACACAGTTGTGTAAACGGATTGAGATGGGGCTGAGTGGCGTGGCCTCATGCTGCTTTCAGACACGCACTGAACTCAAGAGAATCTCTGGACTGAGCCAATGTGAGAAGTTTGAGTGTGGGAGTTTTGGTGATGATGACATTTCTAACATGTAACAGACAGAAGAACAAAAAGAATACAAACATTTTAAGAGAGCTTCCGATGATAAAGGCAGATGCTGGTTTCAACGTGTTGTAAAAAAACACCATGATCACCACAGCAGCATCAATACCTTACATCCTGCTTCCGCCTGCTGCACCACCCCTCACCTGAACGCTCCAGAGAGTTCGGTATTGTTGTGTTGCAAAGTCCAGACCCTATTCTGCGGACATTCTGAAAACAGAGCAATATAAGCCCTGTGAGAAGGCACTGGTCACTTGTAAGAGGTAAAAGCTACTTTACAGACAGAGAGAGGAGGAATGAGAGAGTTTTTTGGAAGGTAGGGAACGGTCCATCTACTAATGAAATGTGTGTCTGATGTAGAACACATAGTCCTGCCAACTCTGCTTTCACTGGCTGAGCCAAATGATCCCTGCCAAGAGTTAGCTGAAATACTGCCTGACCACTTACCTGACACAACCTTCCTTCCTTCCCTCCCTCCTTCCCTTGTATCCTCCCCCCCCCCCCCCCCCCCCTCCAGGAGTTTGGATGATGAGCTTCCTCACTCTCGTTGTTCTCGTTCTCCAACTCGCTACTATGACGCTGCCAGAGGTCGCCATGGGGAGGAGGAGTACCTGGATGACAGGTGTGTGTCTCTGTCTTCGTTTGATATGTGTACAGGAATTACATTACATGTTACCAAAGTTATGTCCTGTGTTTGTTTCTCTAACTGCTTTTTGTGTGTGCTACGCTTATTTGTGTGCAAAGTGGGAATGAGACAAAAGACTTGTGTCCAAAAGTGTGTTTGCTGCACAGAGGTTTCGTTTTTATCTTTATCGTTAGTTTCACTAAAATTTGATTTTGTCAAATGGGTTAAAGTCTTTCTTTTACCCTTTGGTCAATATTTTCTGACTTCTTTTCTGCCCTATATTTAATACAATTTCTATTTTTCTTGTAGTAGCTTTTCATTGATTGTGAAAGGGACATTAGAGCAGTGTTTAGACAAAACACTTGGTCAGAATAACTTGTGGCATTTCAGCATGTAATGTGTGTGTGTGTGTTGTGTGTATGGCGATCAGCTACAGCTCCTCTTTCCTATTCACCCCCTCTGCTCTTCGGGTTTTTTGACTGTTGTTAATTTCCTCATTTGTCATCCATCCCCATGGTAACGACAGTGAGATCTTCATGATCCACCACTCAATGCGAGGCAAAAGTGCCGAGTGCCTCCACACCAGGTAAACTAGCTAATCATGAATCGTTTTATTCACATTTTATCTCTGAATTTGGGAACTGGATTCGTTTTAGTGTTTTTTTTATTTTTTATTAAGATTATTAAGATTATCTCTCTGTGCAACTCAATTTAAATGTATCACAAGTGTTGTAAAAGTAAATTGTGTGTCATTTAAAACATTTATAGAACATAACAGGGTGAGGCAAACACAAACAATGCTTAGGCAGAGGTAACATTATGGCCTTTGAAAATAATTTCTGTCTTGTCTTGCCTTTTTCACACACCCAACAGGTTTATTGTTAGTTTTGATTAAGTTAAGCTTTAACAAAAAAAAAAAGAGTGGTTGGAAATTTTAAATCACGAAGAAGTAAACAGAGGTGTTACAATGTCAATTAGTGTCAATGTCAGTTGTACTACTGCCTCTGATCCACAAGAGGACAGCACAGGACCGCGCTTCCATCCAAATAGGAAGCTGCGCTATTACCAGGCCTGTTAGGGCTAAAGCAAAAAAAAAACTTAATGTGTTGTAAAGATATCCATAAACATTCCCTTTGGCTCTCTTGCAGAAATAAAACAAGGAATGATCTGCAATTCATGTTTGAAATAGTTGAGGGGTCTTGTCTCGTCAGTCTGTTCTCATTGCATGTACTGTAGACATCTCCTCTTCAGCCTGAGATGTAAGCACACAGTCAGAGAGCAAGTTACACTCATGAGAGCATATCTGAGGCAGAAACATGTTCTCCTTATACAACCACACCTCTGTGATAGCAACACAATTAGGTGGTTACACATTCTATTTGTGTTTGCTTCTGGTGCCTTTATGCTTTTATGTCATGCAGTGCTGTAGTTCTAATGGCTTACACTGCAAAAACACAAAAGCTTAGCCAGTGATTTTTTGCAAGGAATTAAGTTTTGAAGAAACATGACGCCTTTCTTTCATAGGTCAATAAATCTTTAAGCAAATTCAATGAAAATCATCTGACTGGTCAACTGCTTTCATCTCTTTGAATCAGCTTAATCTACTGTATCTTCAAATCAGCTAAAGAACATATTGAATAGTATATAAAATCACTGGTTAACTTATTTTGCCCTGTAGAACTTTTTTCTGTGCAAAACACTTCCACACTCTTGTTTTTTGTCCTCCTCCACCTATTCCTCCCATTTACCTCTGTTTGCTGCATGCATGCTTACATCAGGAGGTCTTCTAAGCACAATAACACACTGCCCCCTAAGATGCCACTTTTGTTCAACGGCATCAACAAGCGCTCAGACAGGTAAGTCTGCAGATATGGGTTCAGTATCCGTCAAATGAAAGTGTTTTCACCGTTCTTTATTTCCAGTCCAGTTTTTTTCTGTAAAGTTCCAGTGCGTAGGAATTAATTGGATCTGTTGGCAGAATTATTGAATATATTTTCATCATTGTATATTCAGCTGAAACTAAGAGGCATTGGGTTTTGTTGGTTGAACCATAATGTCTACATAGGATTCTGGTCCTAAAGTCCACCATGTTGCTCTGCCATGTTTCAGTAGCCCATTAAGGACAAACCAAGCACTGGCTCTATAGAGGGCCTTTGCATTTTGAGTTACTTGAAGGCCACCATATTGTCCTTCATTCTTGGAAATGGAGGAGTGGTGGCAGTACAATTAATTTGATTGCCATCTGCACCCTCGCTGCTCGATGCAACAAAATCCTACACACTGGTTCTTAAAAAGATATCCTCACAAAAAACACAGTACTCTTCTGGACAATGTGACAATCATATAGACAACTCAAGTGAGACCTGAACTTCTTGGTTCGGTTTACTACTGCAACCTTTGCACAGGGCCAGTTTTCACAGTTTTGTTGAGTGGCTCACTTCATGTATTGAATGACCTCCAACAAATTCAATTTCCCAACAGCCCCAGATGTTAACTGGCTAAATCTCCTGGGCCATTAGCAACTCAAGGATTTGCAGCTAACTTAGACTTTTATAATTAAAACAGGACAGAGAGGACTGAGCGTTGCCAACGTAGTTAGACTTTAGAGATTACAGATTTCTAAATGATTAATGAAAGATTTGCTGAATGAATGATAGAGTTACCAAAACCAATGAAACAGAGGCTAGGCCAAAAGTAAAATTATAACTTCTGCGGTTGGGTTTATGTTATGGCCAGCGGTTTTCGTCAGTTTGGCATTGCATATAACTTTAAAACCACAGCACAAATGTACCGTGGTGGCTTTTGCTCTGGGGAACAATCCGGTCAGAGTGACATAATCAGAGCTATAGTCAATTCAGAATGCTGCTGTTGCAGTTTTAAACAAAACAACACAATGCAATAGTTCAAGAAAGTAAAAGTTAATCACTTTAAGCTGCAGTTTGTATCATTAGCTTTCTCAACAGCGGAATATTTAGCTCCATGCCAGAAAAGCAAAGCTTCAATGGCAGGAAATAACTGAGTCCCAAAATATCTCTTTCTTTGAAACTTGTCTTTTCTAAAAGTTGAGGAGAAGTAGCCTTCCTCTGGCTGCATCACTTCTCTGATTGCTCTCCAAGAAATCTTTCTTTTATTTATAGTCTTGTTACAAAGAATCATACAATCCTTTTCCTCAAAGGAAGAAAAAAAGCTTAAAACAGAAGTTCAAACTCTTGTGACACCTCTGCACACCTGGTCAGTTGTTATGTAAAAAGTGTCCATGGCGGTTAGACTTGTGTTGGTGGACAACCAATGGAGAAACAACTACTTTGGAGGCCATTGATTTCTCTATGTGAATATTTTCCACAGAAACAGGGGCTTTGCAGATCAGTTCTGAGCTTTCTTACCTTTCTTTCCTTTCTTTCATTTGCAAATGCATGCTGTTTTTGACATTTTCGTCTTGTGACTAGTTCCACGCTGCCTGCATGTCGCAAGATGAGCTCTGTCAGGGGACCGCAAATAGTCATGGCAACACACCATTCCATCACACACCGAGTTGTAATGTTCACAGATGAGGTGACAGTTAGGTAAGACACTCACAGACATGCACACAGATTGTTATGAATAAAATATATTTGTGTAAGTTTTACAGGTTGTGGGGAAAAGGCCATTCCATCCATGACGATCAAAAAACACATTCTTTTATCATTCTCCAACTCCATAAACACAAAGACACTGTCATTCTTATGCCAGCCCACCAGTCATGGTTTAGTTATTGGTCTAGCATTATGATTTGGGGAATCTAACTGGACTTTGTTTTCAAATGATTTTATTTCTGTTTGTTCATCGTTTCTCTTTCTGTTTGTTTCTGTCCTTTCCTCCTGTCTCCTCTTCCTCTCCTCCTCTTCCTCCATTGGATGGCATGTTGTGCTGTGGTGCCTCTAGTGATCTTCAGCCTTCTCTGGACAGAGTTAGGAGTGCTAGCGCCAACTGTCTGACTCCAGACAATCATGCCCCCTCACCAGAGACTGAAAGGTACCAGCCTCTGTACCTACCACCCCTTCTGTTGTTCATTTTTCTGTTCTCAACCTTTCCTGGTATTTGTAGCTCTTCTCCCCTCTGAATGGTCCTACACAAGCCGATGATTAAGCCTCCCCACTCCTCACCCTACCCACACCCCTGCTGTACCTGCTCCTTTCAATCTGCTGTTTCACTGAGCAGTTCCTGCTTTGCTATTATTCTCAAGGATTTTTCAAGATTGAAAAATTCAGTGACACGTTGAGTATTCAATGACATATTTTTAAAAGTCATTGAAGTTTCAAGACTTAGAGATGTGCCAAAGTCTTTTTTACTGTACACTTTGGCGAAATGTTTTAATGGTAGTACTGCCGATAAAAACAATACAGGATTACCGACCTTTTTAGAGGACACGATGAATACAGCAAAGCAACATTGCTGTTTTGTTTTTTATTAGTAGCATTAGTCCTACAAACCGTAAAAGAGCACACAAAGCAGTAGCTGTAGCTACTATTGCCTGTGGCACTGTCCAATATGGTTGTGCTGCAGTCCTTCACTGTTATGATGTAACGTTTTGCCTTTTGACAATGTCAAGTTTTAAAAAGTTTTGTTCAGCTTTTGTCCAAACTAAACATGAAAAGGGCACACAGGACACCTCCCTCCACGTTTCTTATTTTCATTTCCAGTCCCATGTAATACTCCTTTGGAAAATGAAATGTCAACTTTTCCCCCTTTTTCCTCACAATGTAAGTGCTTTTTATTCGAGTTTTAACACCCAGCAGGCACAAACTTAAGAAAGTAGGTCTCATAGACATATCAGATCGCTCTCACTTTGAAAGACTACAAACAAATGAATTCAGAGATTTTACCTCAATGATATCATCCATCAGGGACCAAAATATTGTAATTGCAAGTGATCAATAGTTTGCAGAACTCTTTCACAACACATGATTAGGTGCATGGAATTAAAATGAGACAGGAAAAGCTATTGTTAAACTTGAATCTAAATTCAACAGGAGACCATCTTGCGATAAGATCACAGCAGCCGTGATCCTGGTCAGCAACTCATTTATTCACGTTTTCTCTTTAATTCATCACCTGTCTGTTTAAACCAAAATACTCAAAACCACCTCTGTGGCAGGGACAGAGTCAAGCTGAAAACATAATCAATGGTTCAATCAAAAGATTGTACTTGCCTATGTGTTAATAGCTGACACACTTGACAGTTCTACACTTGTGACTGAAATGAAGAATAATACAAAAAACACCTGCTAGTACACCTACTTTTTCTTGCCTCTGTCAAAACAACAAGTTGCAAGTTTGCAGTAATTATTAAATCCACAGTCTGTCTGGTGTGTTCAGTGGGTGTCTTCGTCCTGGAAGTCATATGGAGCTTTATTTTTTGTGTTTTGTTCTGGCAACAAATCTTCAACAATGTGATTGCCAGGACACTGTTGAGTGTTCAGTCGATAGCCAGATATAGATAGCCTCTGGAGTAGGAGGAGACCAAAATATAGCCAAAAGCAGGTTGAATTTTGTGTAATGTTGCTTTTGTGTGCTGGTTGTGTAAATGGTCAACTATTTGCTAGCGAGTTTGTCCTGACAACTATAGTATAAGGTGCTATGACAGTGTTGTGTTTACAGCTTGTTTCACTGCCCCCAAGTGGTGAAAACGTTCTTGTATCCATGGTAGGCACAAAGAGACTTGGGTAGCTTTCCACTATGTGCATGTGTAATAATGGGATAGCATGGTTTTCTGGTTTTTAATAGCTTGCTGATTTGGTCATATGGGTGATATATTTTGTATGTGTACACATAGAAAATCTTTGTCCCGTTCCCTGCCCCGAAGACGCCCGGCAAGTCCCAGGATTCTTATTCAACATGCTTCCCCAGAAGATGACAGGTATCCTTTGTGGACCCTCTGCCGCTTCCTCCTAGAGCTTGACTTGTGCCCTAAAATCTGATGCCCCCAAGTTGAATTATAAGAAAACAAGAAAGATGTTTTAATACTGTGATATATAACCAATATATCCCAAGTTTTTTTTGCAATTATCTGTTATGAAATGAAACACATTCTCTGATACCTGATTGAAATCCTCTTGGTTCAGTTGGGTCTTTTGGGGCTCAGGCAGATGTCAAGCTCTACCTTGTTTTTGCAGCAAACACTAATCTCTTTAAAGAGTTCTGACATTAATAGCTGGTTGTGCATTTAAAACTTTTCCAACTCTCTCTTCTCTGATTAAAGTGCAGTGTATGACTTTATCTTGTATCATAAAAATGGCAAATAACCAAATTTTGTTCAGAAGAAATGTGGCAGGTTTTCTCATTTTTAAGTGCTGTTAACGGAATCCTGAAAAACTTTGGGAACTTGCTTGAATGTTCATACCTCCCTCATGTCTGTCAGATGAATACATTTACCAAGCACTTTATATGGCACATATGTTACTCACTTATTAATGCCAGCAATTCAGTGTGTACAATCTTAGAGATGCAGGTCATGAGCTTCAGTTAAACAAAATGGAGAAAAAAGTGATCCGAGTGACTTTGACTGTGATGTGACAGGTGTCAGATCAGCTGGTTCGGTTATTTCGTAAATTTATGATCTCCTGAGATGGAGAGAAAAACAAAACACATTCACTGAGCAACAGGTCTGTGGATTGATAAAAGTCACAACACAAGCAATCTCAGAAAACATCTTCATCATTTTGACGACACATGCAAATTGATGACGTTGTTTTCTTAATTTGCAGTGAGTTGAGCTCTCTCGACCACCGTACTATTCAATCTGATCAAACGCCCCCTCTGCATCGAGCAAAATAACTACATGACATTTGAATGATATTTTATACATTCCCCAGTCTGGCACACGTAACATGCCCCAAACCCACCCTAACCCACCTTTAAGCCAAACAGGTTGCCCCAATCTTCTTAAGGAAACAACAAGGCAATAATATCGCACACAATCAAAACCATAGTGATAACCAATATTTCAGCCTTTTTGCTCAAAAAAGGGCTATTTTTGACATTGGTCAAGGTTCCGGAATACGATGGGCTCTGTCTACTTCCATCCTGGAGAAACCAGTCTGGCCTCAAAAGTTTCATTATCAATTCAGCCTCCTCAAAAGCTGTAGTATGCCCCCCCTCTCCGCACCCTCTGGGACTCCCACCAACTTCAAATTCAACTGTCTGGAGCAGCCCTCTAAGTTTTCACCTTCCAGCAGAGAACACCCTCTGTTGCCTGTAGCTCCTGGCAGGCCCACTCAAGAGCATCCACACGGGCATCTCGGTTTGTAACCCTGCTGATAAGCCCCTCCACTTTCTTGTTCCTTTTGCACAAGAGTAAAAGTCAAAGGTTGTAATGGAGTGTCTGGTGTTTTCTATTAACTTCCTCAACTCAATAACTCGATTTTCTATAGCCGCTAATACGGCAGATGGCGTAAGCTGAGGCGCAGCTGCATCGAGATTCACGTGCAGCCATGTGCTTCTCATCAGGAGCAGCGTCGTTCGAACCCTTATTCAGCTCTTTTTCAATATGATTGCTTATCCTTAATCAAAATCGAAAGGAGCCCAAAAACGTCAGCAGCACAGATTCTAATAAACTCCAAACTGAGGGTGATTATTTATATAAATTAAAATAGTCCAGACATCAGCTGATGTCCTTCCTCGTGGCCGCAATTTCAGCGACCTCCCTGGTCACCACATGTGAATCCAATAGCACCTTTGGGGTGTGGTAGAACAGGAGATTGGCAGTTTGACTGTGCAGCTGACAAATCAGTGATATGAAAAACCGTTTCCACCATCAGTGTTGCAAAGAGCAAAGAGAGGGACTTCTCAGAATCAGTGTGGTGTTCTAAATAAAGTGCTTGTTGACTGTATTCTGTAACTGTATATTACATTCAGGAGACCGTTTGGCATGAAAATTGGAAACATGACATAAAGGCTCTGAACAAAGGTAGCTTTTCAAACACTGTAATATCTTAATTAATGAGTTTTAGAGGTGCTAGGAGGCACATTTTGTTCCCTGAAACAAAGCCAGGTTAGCTGTTAATCTCTATTTCAAGTCTTTATGCTAGGCCATGCTAATGTGTCTTGGCTGTATATCCACATTTGATATACAGGTATGAGTGATATCAATCCTCTCACTAACTCTCACAAGTATTTTTCCCAAAATGATTTCCTTTTTACTGAAATCTTAATTTTCTTGAAGCCAATAGTAGTTGAGTTTCCACTGTGAGGTTTCACTTTAGTTTAACAAATACAAGATAGAATCATGAGCTATTTTGTGACACAGTTGAGCTGGACACAGTGAGAGTGAGTGGAACACAAGGTAGAACTTGTCCTCGTAAAAATCACATAGTTCTTCCTCAGACAAGTTCTACTTTGTTTCATTATGTGTCACCCACATTGTGTAAAGGGTTGTTTGTGTGGCTTTTACCTTGCTGTTGATGTTTTTCTGGTTCGTAGTTTGATGCCAAGAGTCTAAGCTACAGTTTTGGTTGTGGTGGTTGTTGTAGTCTTGTCTTGTTGCTTTTCTTCCTCCTTCCTTCATGGTTATAGTGGTCAGTTTGCGTTCTTGTGAACTCGTGGTAGTTTATTCTGGTTGTGATGTGAAATCTTGCCTTGCTGCGTTTGCTTCCTGCAGTCTGTCCACATTTTCTTTTTGTTCAGGGAATCTGCATCTGCAGCGTCTGTGTGCTCACCTTTTATCAAGGCTCAGTACTCCACAATGATGTGGGATTCTATGTGTGATGTGTGTGTGGTGATGCACATATCATCTTTGTCATTTTCATGTCCATGAATGGAGAATATGGATGCTACTTCCTACTCAAGAGACTTTAATTCAGCTCAGTACAATGAAGAGGTACACTCATACGCAACGTGAATATGTCTGCACACACACACACACACACACAC